TCATTAGTTACATTTAAAATCTAATTCCAGTTCAAACAGAATAATCTATTGTCAAAATAATTATGGAGTGTGAATCATTTTCAACTCAAAATATCTTCAAACTAATGAAATATGAAGTTATTAGTGAGAAAAATCACTCTGGATAACAGCAGACTGACTGCTCGTAAAATATACGACAGGTCTGGACCACACGTGAATTTTGTTCATATCTGAAAATAATCTTAGAATACGAGAAAATTGGTGAATGCCACAAATTCGTCTAAATCACTCGTACGCACAACTTAAGAACAAATCTGTTTGTACGAACGGTTCTTGCATGAGGCCCAATAAATCTAAAGAAGACGGCAGATTGTGTTGTATCTTCACTACATCACTGTCTCCCWTCCTGAGCAGCACATTGGTGACAGTAAAAACTCCCTTTTAACAGGAAGAAACCTCCAGCTGAACCAGGCTCAAGACAGGCAGCCATCTGCCTCGAGCGGCTGGGTTTGGGGGGATAGGAAAGAGACAAACACAAATACTTGACTGTTAGTGTTGTCTTTCAATTTACTCAAGCCAGAATAGCGTCTCTGAAACGATTCTTTGCATATATGTATTGTAACGTGGGAGTTCCTGTCACAGGTGGCCATGGTGGAGGTACAGTTGGAGGTGCAGTACAATTATCCCCGAGAGCTCCTCATCGCCTTCAGCGTGTGCACCACCGTGCTGGTGGCGGTGCACCTCTTCGCTCTGCTGATCAGCACCTGCATCCTGCCCAACGTCGAAGCTGTCAGCAACATCCACAACCTGAACTCGGTCAGCGAGTCGCCTCACGAGCGCATGCACCACTACATCGAGCTGGCGTGGGGCTTCTCCACAGCCCTGGGCATCCTGCTGTTTTTAGCCGAGGTGGTGCTCCTCTGCTGGGTCAAGTTCCTGCCCGTGGACTCCGGCGCCAAAAAGGCGCCCGTCTGCTGCGCCACGACAGCCAAGCCGGAGGCGACGCACCCGGCCACGCACAGCGGCTGGCAGGCGGCGCTGGCCTCCACCATCATCATGGTGCCCGTGGGGGTGATCTTTGTCATGTTCACCATTCACTTCTACCGCTCTCTGGTCCGCCACAAGACTGAGCGCCACCACCAGGAGATCGAGGAACTGCACAAGATAAAGGTGCAGCTGGACGGCCACGAGAGAGGCCTCCAAAATGTGTGAAAACACGAGCAGCTTTAAAGACTTTCCTCTGTGTTACATATTTATCAAGTTTATCTTTCTTTGCCATTTGCTCTGAACGTTAATGCCTTGAACACATGAGCAGCGAGCTTTACCGATTGTCTCGTTCTATTACAGCCAACATTTCAGACTGCTGTTTTCTACATAAGGTGAATGTTTAAGGTTTGTATGGTAACTTTGTTTTTCATCTGATCCTGAATACTGTTGGTAAGGGACAGAGTTTAAAGGTTTACAGAAAAAAAGGGCTAATATTCTTATAGTACCAAATTTGCTATACTTAAGATATTTTATGTGAGGGTTTGAGTGCTCATAGTTGTTCCGTTTGTTAGCAAACGCCTGTATTCAGTGTACATAGTCTCAGAACATCTCGGCTTGTCTTAATGTTTTAATTATTTCGGAGAATAAGGCAGCATTCTWATTCTAGTTCTTATTCACCTCCACACAATTACTTATACCTTAAGCTAATTGCCAGCTGAGCTTTTTTGTGATCAGCCAAAGATAATWATGGMGTACATTTCAGCAATAACAGCTATTATGTATGTCAGATAAATTGAAAATTCTGTACCACTTTACAATAAGGCTCCCCTTATAGATGGCTTATAAATAACTTGTGTAAAGCTCCCTTTAATAAGTATATTGCAGTTKCACAGTACAATATTATATGTAAAATATGTGTTTTCAATACATTATTGTGCTTACAAGGTAGAAACCTGGTCTGAAATGTTTTAATATAACACCTTTTAGATGTAATATGTACATGAACAGATTAGGCTCACTATTTGGCAAGAAACTGGACAGTTTTTTCTCTTTCTCACCCTTAATTAATGCATAATGATTTTTTAATTGTTTACAGATGAATTAATAACCTATTTATAAGCCATCTATAAGGGAAGCCTTATTGTAAAGTGATATTGAAAATTCTCTTATTAATAGTAAAACATGACCAGTTGCTCTAAATCATGATTAATAGTTTTGAAGTGAATTTGTCATAAATACAAAGGGGTGCAAAAGTAGACACATGCTTACATCTGTTAATAAACCTGCCTTTGTTGCTACCAAACACCTTACAGTTGATATAAAATAAGAAAGCTGATTTAATTTAATACAAATTAAGCAAATGGTTCCTGAGTTTATATTCAAGCTTCTGCTCATAAAAGTGTTGAGTCGAGGCCTGTAATGTCATTATCGTGGTGTTTTTACCCCACGTTGTTACGACTGGTGGAGCGTAGTCCTCCGTTGTATGTGTGTGTCTGAAGCTGCATGGTGATCGACTGTGGCCAAGTCTGAAAAATGTCGTCTTATGAAAAACGATTGGTGCAAGGATTAYTTTGCATCACTGTTTTTTTACTCGAATGTTTAAAAAAAGCTTCAGCTTTTTCTTTAATGCCAAAGTAGCTTTTCCTGTCTGTTACGAAGACCGTGGAGCCTGTGTGGCAAGCATCAAACAAGACTATTCTCATGACTGATGCTGCTCAAAAATGCTTCAATATATGAAGCTGTTCACATTTTGTTCTGCCTTCCAAAAATACTGCCTATTTTGAACTGCTGTTTTAAAGGTCGTAAGCACATCTTTCACTGGAAGCATTAAAACCCCGATGGGACGGTAGAACTGTGACGTAGTAAATTGTGCCCTCCAAGTTTGCGTACTACAACTTGGAGTCATTTTAGCCTTTGGTGTTGACAGAATATTATTTTCTTTTGTTTAAAGAGAAAGTTATCACATTCCAAATACCAGGACTGACCAAAGTGTCGCTCAGTTATTGTTTCTCATCCACTCCAGGATGGGTGGTTCATTTTGTACAGGGAACGTCTGGCTTTGTTTCATGTCTGACTGGTTGCAGTTCACATCCTGTAACATACTGTCAAAATAAATGCCTCCCCCCCCCCCCCCAACCTCTTTCTTCGATGTCTGTTGTTTCAACCAAAAGAATGAAGTTTCTTAACAAAAAGAAAATGTCTAATTATGACTACCTCTTGAAGCTCATCAAGAGAATGACAAGAGTGTGCAAGGCAGTAATCAAAGCACAAGGTGGCTACTTTGAAGAACCTAGAATATAAGAGATATTTTCAGTTGTTTCACACTTTTAAGTATATAATTCCACATGCATTAATTCATGGTTTTGATGCCTTCAGTGTGAATCTACAATTTTCATAGTCATAAAAAAATGAAGAAAACTTTGAATGAGAAGGTGTGTCCAAACCTTTGGTTTGTACTGTTTTCCAGTCACAACTGTTACTAATCCAAATTATTTTGTCTTTGGCAGAATAAAAAAAGAAATGGAATAACAAGTCAAAAARCAAAATGATAATTTTTAAGTTTTTTTAATCAACCCATTAAGTGATTTTTTTACCCTTTATTTTATCACACAAATAGATTAATTTCTGATTAGATTTGGATTTGAAATCGAGATTAATACACAATATATATTTTTGGTCAGTAAAGAAAAAATCAGAACAAATCAGAATAAGCCCTCTGATTGGTTGTACAATCTGTACTTTCAGAAAGACAAAGTGTTGTGTTTATGCATTTTTCAGTTTGATCTGAGTCTTTCACTCAGATCATACATGTACTGTCTATCACCATCCAATCAATTAGACAATTGTTATTGCACTGCTGAAAATGCACCAAAATTAACATTCAAATTTCAAGTATGTTGACTAAAATGGTGGTAAAATAGAAATATAATGTAGTTGTAATAGTTTAGTCTATAAATTCACACTGTTAAAACATCACCATCACAGTTTAAATCTTATAATTGAACACAAACATTTTTTGTCAATTAGTCAAGATGATCAAAAGTAACAGACTTCAGTTCCAGAATTCAAGCCTTAATTTAAAGGTCCCAACATTTAAAAACTTAACAAAACTAAACAAAAGTAAAGACAGAAAAGACCATGAAATATGTACTTCCGTTTATCCATCCAGTTAAGTCACAGATTGTGCCAGTGTCATACAGCAAATATGTCAGTGTTAAAGTAACACTATTGGTGCATTGCATTTCAGGATTTGTAAAGATCTGACTCCAAAGAGATCTTTCACACAGGAAATAATGTTTCCATGAGGTAGGGTTGTGGTGCTCGTATGTGGGATACTTCCTTCAAGGATCCTGTCRGTCTTTCTTTGCCAGCTTCCTGTACCTCTCCTTCAGGATGAAGGCAGATGATTTGGGTTGCCTTTGTCGAGTAAAAATACCCTTCTTGTTCCCATCCACTCGATAGAACGCTGGACACAAAACCAAGAAGAAACTTTGTAATCATTTTAAATCTATTTTTATGTCAGCGAGTGCCTGGTGACCAGGTCTCTACCCTTGAGGACCAGTCAGGCTCAACCTGAATGAACAATATGCGTTTGCTGTCCTGTGGGCACCCCACCTGCAGGAGGGGCCATACAAGTTGAGAGAATGAAGTCATGGGCCTTGGTGCTCTGACCCTGTCCTACCAAAGCTGGCTCTTGGGACACAGAACGTTACTTCTCTGGTGGGTTAGGAGCCTGAACTAGTGCTTGAGGTTGAAAGATACTGACTTGATATAGTTGGGCTCACCTCAAAGCATAACATGGACTCCGGAAAACAATCCCCCCCCCCCCCCCCAATGTCGGTTCCTGCCAGTTACAGCGACATCACACAAGACCCCACATTGAGAGACTTTGTTGGCTGAGTGTAGTACATTATTCTTCTCTAGAGTTGCCCAATGTGAGAGGCACCGAGCTGGTGTGGGTCTACTTTTAGCCCCCCAACTGGGACGGGCTCTGAAGATCATTTGTGCCTATGTACCAAACAGTTATTTTTATTTACCATTATTTAGCCAGGCAAGTCCCGTTGAGATCTCAGATCAGAGTATTCAGCCTTTTAGGGGTTCTTAGTGCTCCAGTTGGGGACTCTTTTATTCTGTAAGGGGACTTCAATAATCACATGAGTAATGACAGTGTGACCTGGAGGGAATTGACTGGGAGGAACTGCCTCTCTGATTTTACCCAAGTGATGGTTTGTTGCTGTTGTTCTATGCTAGTTATGGTTTGTCCATCACAAACACCGTGTTTGAACATAGGGCTGTCCAAAAGTGCAGGTGGCACAAGGACRCTCTAGGTCATAGATCGATGATTGACTTTGTAGTCGTGTCATCTGATCTGTGGCTAAATGTTTAGGACACCCGGGTGAAGAGAGGAGCTGAGCTGTCAACCAATCAATATCTTCAGTTCTCCAAGTTCAGGTATATTASGGCTTTGTTTACGAGTGAGGGAAGTATGGAGAATGAGATTTGTAGACAAATTGGTGCAACATTTGCAGTATTGCAGATTCTGCACCAATCTTGTGTGGTGAAAAGGGAGTTGATCTGTAAGGCGAAGCTCCATGTTTACCGATCGGTCTACATTCCTACCCTCACCTATGACCACAAACTTTGGTTTGTGACTGAAAGGCAGAGATTGTGGATACAGGTGGTCAAAGTGTGTTCTCTGCAAGGTAGCTGGACTCACCCTTAGAGAGTTAAGATTTAAGACTTAGCAGAGCCTCTGCTCCTTCACATTGAGAGCAGCCAGTTGAGGTGGTCTGGACATCTGGTAAGGTTGCCTACTGGATGCTACTTTAGGGAGGTGCTTCAGGTTGGAAGAGTTGGAGTTGGAAGTGGGGCTGGGGAAAGAGAGGTGCCCAAGCTGCTGCCGCCATGACCCGACTTGAAATAAGCAGATGTTGGATGGATAGATAGATTAAAAACAGAGCTAATGAACAGGAAAAGCGTGTTCAGGCCTTTTTGTTTGTGTTAAAAGATGAGCTGAGGAATTCTGAACCAGCTGACGTAGTGATAAAACTATCTAGTAATTGAATAAAAAGCACAAACCACATTTTAATATACCTGAACACAAAGGTTTCATGAAATGTGTTTTAGCAATACTGAAAATAAAATAAAATAAAAACTCAGAATGTCTTTTATATGACAAACTAAATTGATAAGGATGCTTAAAGACTAGTTAATGAGATTAAGATGATAATTATTAATTGTAAAAGTAGAATCCTGGCTTTCTTGTTACCTTGTGAAGTCATGAAGTCAGCAAAGTTCCATATGAGTTCACCAATAAAAAAAATTGTTCCTCCTTTCCTTGTCAAAAACTTGGTGGTACTGCCGCAGGAATTCGTTCTGGAACTCTTCAGTGAACATCACAGGTGGATCCTGCAGAGTGAAAATAAAACCTGTTCTGTCAAGTGATAGCACAACACCATTTGGACACACCTGGACATCATGTCAGCAACATGTATGACATTGTTTTCAAATTCATGTACTTTATTATGGACTTGTTRCCCCATTTCCAGCAATGAGAAATTCCACCCTTTTTGGAAAGCTTTTTATTCGCAGCTTTTCTGGCAATGATGGCCCTGTTTTTAAGACGGTATGCCAAAACTGGCCCAGTTRTAATTTGCTTTGTGTGGTGCTGCAACACAAACCACCTCTGACAAACCAAGTGTTAGTGCAATGTGTGGGCTAGAACTGGGTCAGACATATTTTGCTCTGTGGACAGTCTCCATTCCAGATAATCAAAAAGTTCCTCAATTGGGTTGAAGTTGGACATCTTTGCAGGCCACTCAAGTTCTTCTACAATTCCAGTTCTTTTGCTTATATGGTACAAATATGCATGAATACTCACACTATGAAGCCCAGCCACTGCATCTGCTCCGTGCTCAGACTGGATGATGGGCTTCTTGTACTTTTGATGCCAGTTCTCATG